ATTTTTAATTATTAGACGTATGTCTTACCCATAGAAATCTGTGAGCATTGATTCTGAGGTGCGCAGAAATCGACGAATTAGCACACACGATGAACGAAGGCGTCAGTCCTATTGGAATGATTGCCGTCATGTGGGCTGCATGACGGATCCCGTGGATAATAATTGCAACTGTGCGGAACTTGACCGAAAGCTGCAGGATTGTCAGCGCGAGCTGTTCATAAAGGAAAGCATGGTGACTGCTTTAAATATTGAGTTGAAGAACCATCCATTGAAGGAGGAGACAGCTTTATTAAAAAAACGTCTCCTTGATGAACAAGCCAAAGCGCGTGATGAAATCAAGCGTATAAAACAAAAGAACGCGGAACTTATGAGCAAAATAAACGTCTACACTGCTTCTGCAGCCATCACGGCCAGTAGCCGAACTCCCGTTGAGGGAAAAACGGTTGAGACTCAAACGGAATCCACTTTAGAGGCGGAGTTAAAAAAGATGACTGATAAGTTCCATGATAGCATACAACTGTGTCGTCATCGATATAATAAAATAAAAGACTTGGAAAATCAGTTAAGACAAAATGAAAATAACGATACCTCCAATATATCGTCCCAAACAGCTGGTCAAATCAGCGCTCTTAAGGTACACGTCTTAATACCTCCGAATAATTTAAACAGTAAAAACTATTCCAAATTGTTTTACATTTACAGTCCCAATTAGAGGCGCAAAGGAAGGAAATTTCCACGCTTTCCAACAAATATGAATACGCCAAAAGGGCACTTAAAATGCGACGGGATGAGCTGGATGAACTACGTCAAGTCGCTGGCATCGATGCTGTAGCATCAACAAAATAAATTGTTTGTTTGTGTTTTTTATTTTTCATAGTATTACAGCGTTGAGTGATTATATGTATATTTAGGATATATTTGTTTAAGTGTATAATTATGATAATGAGTGCCATTTGTACCACTTACATTTTAAATTGAAGCACTCATGATTTAAATAAATTTACTTTTGGCGCCCCCTACATCAGTGCAATAAAGTGAATTAAGGAGGCAACACTGTCAGCGAGCTTATCGATATAAACGATAACAACGCGTTTGATAGCTTGAAAATACAAGAGTTGCATTGCTAAGAGATCGAGCAGCTATCGGCCAGCCACCACACACATATTAAATCTTGTATTAAAAAAAAGTGATTCTGCTTAAGTGGGCCATGAATTCGGCAACAAAGGTATATTTAAAGCACACGCAGTTTTTAAAAATTAGTTTAAGTGCATTTTTTCAACTGAAATGTCTCTTTTCCTACGTGCGTTGCAAAATTTTTGGCGGCTGAGCGTCCCTTGCTCAGTTCATCTCACTCCTTCGAAAGCGAATGCCAGCGAAATGTTTTGCTTCATGGGGCGCGTTTGTTTTGAATTTGCAACGCATGCTAAGGCTAAACATAAACAAAAACTCGATTTGAATGCACGTATATAAATATTTGTTGTTTTGCATAGGTTGGAGAAATTTTCACGGCAGCGGGCCAAGCGTTTAGCAGACTCGGCGATCTGACAATGCAATTGCATCCAAATGCCGAATCTCCCTCTGGGTAAGTGAGAGTTGGCTATAAATGAAAAAGAGCTTTAATAAAGAACGAAGTACAACTGAATTTCATGTTCCCTCGCTATGCCACAGTAAATGGACAGATGAGGAAATTGACATGTTACACTCGTCCATAATGCGCTTCTCCGATGATCTGAGCAAAATCAGTTTAAGCATTAAAAATCGCACAGTGTAAGAGCGAGAGAACATGATACGAAATAATATGAACTCAATAAAACAAACTCTGCTTCCTACAGCTCCCAAATACGACAGGCATTGAAGAAGAAGGCGTTTGAGGATGCTGGCATACCAGCAAAGCAAGTGCCCGTGCAGCAGGTGCAACACGTTATACAAACAGTGCAACAGTTACCAATTGTCCAGCAGCAGCAGCAGCCGCAGCCGCAGCAGCAACACGTATTCAAATCACACATCATACAGCAGCAGCAGCCGCAGCAACAACAAGCGCAGCAACAAGCAAAGCAAATTATATTGCAGCCGCAGCAATCAACGACAACAACAACAACAACGGTGACAATCAAACAATTTCAGCAAATGCAGCAACAAAAAGCAGCAGCTTTAGCCGCAGCACAAGCTGCTGCAGCAGCAGCCGCCAATACGCCAACCATCACAGAGAACATCATCATACAGCAGCCCACGTCAACGACAGCGATGCAGCAGACATCGCTGCCAATTGTGGCGACAACTGCTACACAACAAATCATTGTGCCTGCCAACTCAAATAGCTCAGTATTGTCGCCAAGTGTCGGAGCAACAGCTGTAACAGCTGGTGCAGTGGGCGCCGTTGTAGTAGCAGAGGATGTGGTGAGCACCACATCAAACTCCTCAACGAATGCTGGTCTCAAGTGCGGGCCCGATGTGTCGATGACACTGAACAGGATAAATGTGCAGGAGAACGATGTGGAGGAGTGCCTGCCCGCAGAGGTTGTTAAGCTGGACTTTGTCAGCGAAGAGGTGGCTGGGTGAAGTTCAATCCCTGTAGTTGCAGCTGAAGCTGAAACTGAAGCGGAGGTAACGAACGGCCTGGGCGAGCACTTCTATTATTAGTAATAAATAAATGTTAAAAAGAAGCTTCAAGTAAATCATCCTCATATATATATGCATAATTATGTATATATATTGAAAATGTAATTTTAAAATTTGAAACGGAAATTAAGGGCTTGATAAGTTCGATGTATTTAATTGTTTGCCGCATCTACACATATACATATATTTAAGAACAGATTTAATAGTGCAAAGTACATAACAAAATTGATATAAGATGAGAAAGGAATAAATGAGCATAATTATAGATATTAAGTTTTTTATTTCCAATATGGAGCTTTTCCATATTCAATATTTTTTTCGAATAATCCTAATACATTTTTTGTTTAAGCGTAAACGCTGAGCTGCATACTAATTTTAATTTAACATAATAACAGTCGGATAACTAACAGTTGTGCTCCTCTCTGGACATACTCACTCCTCCGTTAACAGCAGTTTCTTATAGCTATGTAAATAAAACAAACGCAGAGAATCTTTTCGCTAGGACACACATCGTCAGTGGATTAAAAAATGAGAATAATATACTTGCTAATAGTATGTATGTACTTTGTTGGGTCTTTGGCGTACAAGCCTGTTGTGATACTCCATGGCATATTATCGGGAGCTGAATCTATGACTGTTTTGGTGCGACATATTGAGAAAGTAAGTGCGGGGGGTCGAACCGTTCTTTGTTATTGTTTATTTGCCTCCAATGACAAGTTCAAAGTCAATTTTTTAATTCCATTTGTTTTCAATTCAGTTTCATCCGGGTACAGTCGTGTACAATTGTGATAAGTTCAGCGGGTGGTACAGCCTGGAGAATGCCTGGCGGCAAGTCCAACAAATAAAAGATTACATAGGTGAGTTAATGTTATTTAAAAGATCTCATCTATTAATTATTTCTGTATAATTTTAGATCAAATTGGAAAACTGCACCCGGAAGGCATAATTGTATTAGGTATGTCAATATTAGGAATCATCTTTGGACTATATTGTTGATTACTGATCCTCTATGCAGGCTACTCTCAAGGCGGGCTCTTGGCGAGGGCGGCGATTCAAAGCTTACCCAACCACAATGTAAAAACCTTTATATCGTTATCATCACCTCAAGCTGGACAATATGGAAGTATGTAATATATATAAATATATGTGATTAAGATTTAGTAATCTTTCTTTACGCTTTCAGCAAGTTTCTTGCACTTAATTTTCCCTGATCTTGCGGCAAAAACTGCATTTGAGCTATTCTACTCGCGGGTGGGGCAACACACATCTGTAGGCGGCTACTGGAATGACCCACATAAACAAGACCTATATATGAAATATAGTGAATTCTTACCCTTGATTAACAATGAGAAGCTGAGCTCCAATTCAACTTCGTTCAAAATGGGAATGGTACGGCTGAATAAGCTTGTCCTAATCGGAGGACCAAACGATGATGTTATTACACCATGGCAATCTAGGTAATATATACAAATCTATACAATATAAATAATATATATAATTTTATTGAACTATGTTTTCTTCAGTCATTTTAGTTACTTCAATGAATCATTGAATGTGATTCCGTTTTATAAACGGGAAATCTACATGAATGACTCAATCGGATTGAAGACCTTACTGGAAGCTAATAAACTAATTATTATTGTTAAGCCATTCGTACATCACCTTTCGTGGCATTTGAACAAACGAGTTATCAATGAAGTTATAATGCCATATTTGGATTAAACAAATTCAACCTTAAGCGAGTAGAAGCAGGCTGTGATTCGAAAGGAATGGAATAGAATGGGTAAACATTTTATTTTGAACTGATTTAAGTAAGAGTAATCAAAAATATTCTCGAGCCTATGCTATATATGGATAGCTTAGTTCTATCCGCTTTTATAAAATAAATAGTTAAATAGTTATTTTTATATGTAGAAATTCAAAGATATGTTTAATTGCAATGGAGATTAAGGCTATCAACCAACAACAAATATTTATACAAAGTGAACAATCTACCTTTATATATTTTGACAGGAATGTTTTAAAAGAATTATTTAATTTTAATTATTTGTAATTATAACTTTTTGTGAAATAAAATAGAAAATTATATAATAAATCTGAGTATATCGGAAAGTAGCTGCTTTTGCATTTCAGAGAACTCTAAGAAGTCTTGATGTCTTAAATCAACGACTAATCAACAAAAATAATAATCAATAATTAATGCAATAAAATTATTTTTGGTAAGTCTTATCATCAGCAACAATGCTCTAAAAATTATGGATCTAACTGCATATCTTTTTGGAAGATTTATTTCATGCTCTCAAAAGGCATATATATACTTATTAGCTCAAGTAATTAACTCCTGATATAATAGCATTTTTATTATTTGGGAATTCGAAGACAGATCATCAATCGTTTAAGTATACTTAAAAAATTTACTCTCAATGGATTACGTTACGTTACCTTGCGAAGCTTCACTTTAACTCTGAATGCGTTCAAGGTAATGCGCAGGCTGTCGAAGGGAATAATGAATGTGGGATGATCGAAAAAGCTTGCAGTGCATCGGTATTCGTAGTACGAATTTCGTACACTGCTATACATTGCCAAAAATTATCAGTATGGGTCTAAAGTATATTTAAAACATCAAAACCACTCCAGTACTGGGTCACTTCTGATAAGGCCTACAGCTGATTTCTTATTTATCGCGCTTAACTTTAGAAATCCCGTTTCGTAAAGCAAAAATCGCAGACCTATGGAGAACATGGCAGGAACAGTCGCAGTTGGAAATAATGCAGACAATAGCATCCGCATATTGGTGGCCACGGACAACCACTTGGGCTACGCGGAGAAGGATGCAGTGCGAGGCGAAGACAGTTTTACGACTTTTGAGGAAATATTAGAGCTGGCAGTGTCAGAGAATGTGGATATGATATTGCTTGGAGGGGACCTATTTCATGATTCAGTGCCCAGCCAAAATGCGCTGTACAAGTGAGTAGATCACTGACAATAAATCTTCAAATTGAAAACAAGTAAGAAGGCTCCAGTCGAGACTGCTCGACTAGGAGATACCCTGAACCCTCCAAACTGATATTCTAATCATTCTGGACTTCTTTTATGCACACATACATACACATGCACGTATAAGCACGCGCTCTGCAAACTGCGCAGCTAGCAGCGGCTGCGCTTGGGCTGCACTGCAGTGTGGGCATATTATGAGAATTTATTTGTTGAATAATTTCTTTTGTAGGCATACGATCCTAATGAAACTTTTAGAGCGTAATAATATGGCTAAAATGTGTGTACGTTCCAAATCACAAGTCTCTAGTACTTGAAATGCGTTTTTTACAAATTGGGGGCGAAGGGGGCGTGGTATCCAAAATCTGAAAATTACAAAATCTTTGTATCTATTAACTTTATATACAACGCAAATTTTAAGTCTCCAGGTCTAAAAGTGTTCAAATTAGGCAGAAGAAACAATGTCGATTTTTCGATTATTCTCGATAAAAAAGTTATCGGACGAGTTATCGAAAAAATAAAGCAAACTTGTACTGCCTATGGTATACACGAGTATGCATGCCAATTTTCAGCTCTCTAGCTCTTATATCTTCTGAGATCCTTTTGCTCATACGGACGGACGGACGGACGGACGGACGGACGGACGGAGGGACGGACGGACGGACGGACGGACGGACGGACAGACGGACAGGGCTATATCGACTCAGCTCGTCGTCCTGATCAAGAATATATATACTTTATGGGGTCTGCGATGATTCCTTCTGCCTGTTACATACTTTTCACAAAACCATTATACCCTGATTTCCCATTTTCAATGGGTTCAGGGTATAATAAACCTGAATTCCTTTGGCTTTGGTTGCTGAGGCGATATACTTTTGGAGATAAATCCGTATCGTTGGAAATATTAAGTGATCAATCGCTTTCTTTTCACAGTGCACTCAATCATTCGGTAAACTACGAAGATCCCTATTTGAAAATTTCCATACCAGTATTTTCTATACACGGCAATCATGACGACCCGAGTGGCTTTGGCCGTTTGAGCTCCTTAGATTTGCTTAGCACAACAGGTCTGATTAACTATTTTGGTCGCTGGACAGATCTTTCAAGAGTGGAGATAAACCCCATCTTGATTCGTAAAGGCGAAACCAAGTTGGCACTCTATGGGCTCAGTCACATTCCTGATGCACAGCTAGTGCGTATGCTAGAGAAGTCTAAAATCAACTTTCATAATGATAATCTGTCTGGAGAGGAGTGGTACCAATTGATGGTGGTACATCAGAATCGCGTAGATCGTGGTGGTAGCAAGAAATATCTGCCCGAGGATCGTCTACCCGAGTTTGTGAATATGGTTATCTGGGGACACGAACACGATTGCTACGTTGATTTTAAGCAGAGCGCTTCGGGTCATTTCAAAGTTTACCAGCCGGGGTCCTCGGTAGCCACGTCACTCATAAAGGGGGAGTCGAAAACAAAACACGTCGGTCTGTTGACGATAAACAAACTAAATGAGAGCCTGAAGCCACTGCCACTACAAACTGTGCGTCCATTCGTATATGAGTCAATCGATCTCGACGATCTCGTCGAGGAATTGCACCTAAATGAAGGCGATGCAGCGGAAAAGGTGTATAACTTTGCCATAAACCGTGTAGAGGCCTTGATTGAGAGGGCCAAAAGTCTGCTCACGGGTCATCCAAAGCAGCCGGCGATTCCTCTGATACGTCTCCGTCTCCGATACACAGATGAGACGCACATGTTCAATACCATTCGTTTCGGTCATCTCTTTGGCACTCGTGTGGCTAATGTCGCGGATATTGTGAGGTTTACGAGGCTTACCGAAAATGATACGGCAAATGCAGGCAAAGCTGCTGTGGAGTCTGGCATGGTGAGGACCCATTATTAATCACCTACAATTTCTTTCTAACAAAGTAAATGTGTATTAGGAGGTGGATGATCTAACGACATTAGAAGATTTACTAGGTCGGTATATCGAGGATATACCGCTCACGCTTTTTCACTCCAAGGTATTGAAGGAAGTTACTATGCGCATGGTGAAACATTCGGATGGCCATGCAGCTGACCAGATTTTCAAGTGAGTTTATTTGTTCGATATAGAAGGAAGAGTCTTTAATGCATACTATAATTGCAGATATTACAGTGATAAAGCAGTAGAGCACCTAATGCAAACGATGCCTTCTCTTGAGAATATACAAGACGCAATAGAGAATTTTCGTCGACGGCACAAGGCTGACGATATTCTTAATGCATTGAATTCCCTTGGCGCTAAGACACGAGCTAAACGTCCAACGGTATCTGATGGCAAACCTTCAAGCAGAGGTGGACTAGCTGCTACTAAGCGATTAAAGATTGTCAATTAAAGATAGCCAATAACACAAAAGTACGTTCCATTTGAGTGTTGCATTCTTGTTAATCGTTGTCCCCTTCACAAACGAGTTACAATTACTCTTGGACGCTTTTAATTTATCGAACGCAAAAAAGATTGAAAAATAATCTACTTTATCTCGGATTATACCAACTAACATAGTGCTACATTGTTTATTGGTCTCGTTATCAACCGATTGCACATCATCGTAAATTTATTATTTTATTATTCTGACCATGTCGATTCTATTGGCTTCATAATACAATTGAGCATTCTAGCAATATCTGATAATGTAAAGAAATATATTTTGCAAATAAATATTACAGATTTCATTTCTTTTTGAAGACAGTTAAATTTTTGGTTTTGCTGTTTAGTATTTTTTAATTGTTGACCATAGATTCGATGGACTGGAATATCCTTAATCTAAAGTTTTATATAAAATCAAATACCTATTATTTTTTAAAAGCCATTCGAAGTAAACATGAGACTTAAATTTTATATTCTAAACCATTTTTCTATTTTCAAGACAGTCTAGCTAATCTTAATCGAAGAAGCTAATGATGATAATTTGATGATAACTTGAAAGTTTAAATAACAGTACATAATAATGTATAATGGTATGCGATAATATGTGTTTTCTATAAACAATTCAAAAGAATAAAACATTATTATAGGGGCGTGCGGGCAACATTCTTGTGAAAGTACTAAATAGTTTGAGCTTATAGTTGCAACTTGATATTCTTGATTCTTACAATTACAAAATTTATGTATATGTATTTTTTTTTACCATTTTGGGTCTTGATTAAATTGTAAAAGTATTAGATAAGAAATTTTAGCACATCTTTTGATAGCCACAATAATTGATTTTTAAATATGATTAGTTCACAATAATGAAAGAACTATAGCCCTGCCGTTTATTCCGAGAGCCGTGCTGCCAGACGTTGCATAAAACCTCGTCGCGAAAAAAATAAACAATACCGTTTTTTTTTCGAAATCATTTGATCGCGATGAGCAATATCGGGAATTGAGTCGAACATGAGACCATAGTACTTGGCCACACGAATGCTTTTAAGTAAACGCTGGCGAACAGCAGATGCCATAAGATGAATAAACTCATTCTTAATTCCTGGGCTCAGATACTAAGTGGACCCAGGACTAGGTCAAGAAAACCAAGAAAATCACCATTAGAATTGTCAAGCTCACTGTGTCTTAGCAGAGATAAATTTTGTGTAGCTAAAAGCTTGGTGCAATGAAGAATCCTTGTCAGAATTTCTCGCCATTTACAACAACACCCAACCACACCGAGTAAAAAAAGCCCCTGATCCTCTCGGGTGCTTCCACTTGGTGAATCCAGTTTCTTTCTCCAAGGATGACTGAAGTTCAGAATTTGAAAACAGAGTGCAGCAGAGACAAGATGCCGATTTCTTGATTAATATTAATATTAATATTTTCTTTTTTTTTTTACGTACGTGCTTATTAGCTTAAACTTTAAGGATGTCTACATGAATATCTGAAATGATTTGATTGATCTTCAACTTGACTATGTATGTGTGTATGTATGTCTGTGAAACAAATAATAATTTAATGTTAAGCAGCGTTGCCGGACTTCCCGTGGCGACGCTTATGGCATCAACAACAGCTGATTGCTGACTTATCGATAAATCGCGTCACGGCCCGCGCTTCAGTTGTGAAATTCCTTTTTGGAAAGTAAATCTGTTATAATAAACTGAATTAAATATGGCAGAGGCGGATGCAGCTGAAAAGGATGTAGATAATATTATCCGTGTATTAGTGGCCACGGACAATCACTTGGGCTACGCTGAGAAGGACGCAGTACGCGGCGAAGACAGCTTTACAGCATTTGAGGAAATTTTGGAACTGGCAGTGTCCGAGGATGTGGATATGATATTGCTTGGAGGTGACTTATTTCATGACTCAGTGCCAAGCCAGAATGCTATGTACAAGTGAGTTGGGTTGTTATTACAGAGCTTCCATTTTTGGTTATAAATTGAAATTTCTCTTGCAGATGCATTGAACTGCTCAGGCGTTATACATTTGGAGACAAGCCCGTACCTCTTGAAATACTTAGTGATCAGTCACAATGTTTTTACAATGCTGTCAACCAGTCGGTAAACTACGAGGATCCCAATTTAAATATTTCCATACCAGTGTTTTCTATACACGGTAATCATGACGACCCGAGTGGCTTTGGCCGTTTGAGCTCCTTAGATTTGCTTAGCACAACGGGTCTGATTAACTACTTTGGTCGCTGGACTGATCTTACAAAAGTAGAGATAAGCCCCATCTTGATCCGTAAGGGCGAAACCAAGTTGGCACTGTATGGATTAAGCCACATTCACGATGCACGCCTAGTGCGTATCTTTAAGGACTTTAAAGTGACTATTAATTGTCCAAATGAGTCCGAGGAAGATTGGTTCCATTTAATGGTTGTACATCAAAACCGCGCAGATCGAGGTCCGAAGAACTATCTGCCTGAAGAGTTACTGCCAGCTTTTCTGAATTTGATAATTTGGGGTCATGAGCACGACTGTCGCATTGAGCCGGAAGTAAACGCTTTACGCGATTTCTACGTGTCCCAACCAGGCTCGTCAGTGGCTACTTCGCTGGCCAAAGGTGAATCGCTAAAAAAGCACGTGGGTCTGCTGGAAATTTACAAAACAAAGTTTAATCTCAAGCCTTTGCCGCTGCAAACTGTGCGTCCATTTATCTTTGAGTCAATTGATCTAGAGGACTATGTGGACAAACTGAATCTAAAGCAGGGCGATGCGTCCACAAAGGTGTACAACTTTGCCATAAAGCGTGTAGAGGACATGATTGAGCAGGCCAAAACTCTGCTCACGGGTCATCCAAAACAGCCGACGATTCCTCTGATACGTCTACGTCTTCGCTATACTGATGAGACGTACATGTTCAATACCATTCGTTTCGGTCAAATTTTTGGCAGTCGTGTGGCCAATGGGGCAGATGTTGTCAAATTTGAAAAGCTAATCAAGAGAACGAAAAGTGATAAGGTTAATATAGACAAAGATGCTATGCAGCGTGTTATGGTAAGCAGCTTCTCTACATCTAAATTGTCAAGCTAATAATTTCATTGTGGTTGCAGGAGGTGGAGAACACGGCACGTGTGGAAGAGCTAGTCGATCGGTACTTCGAAGAAGTCAAAGACAAAAATCCGCTCAAGCTTCTACACTCCAAGGCACTGGCGGAGGTTACCTACCGCATGGTCGAGCGCTCCGACAACAATGCCGCGGACCAAATTTTCAAGTTTGTGTTAGCCAACACAAACAAAAAACTTGCTATAAATATTCAAATTGCAGATTTTACAATGAAAAGGCTGTTGAGCATTTGATGGACACGTTGCCTGCCATTGAGAATATAAATGATGAAATTGAGAATTTTAGGCAACGCTACAAAGCCGATGATCTGCTTAAAATGCTGGATGACTTTGGCGTTAAGACAGAAGCTAAGAGCTCACTCGCCAACATTAAGACAAGTAATGAAGCCGATCTGTCTGAGGCGCAAGTGACATCCAGTGCCAGAGCTACTGGCCGCGGAGCTGGTCGAGGCGCTGGAACTCGTGGTCGAGGAGGTGCAGCTTCAACTCGGGCTAAAGCTAAGTTAGATGTGTCTGTCAACACTAAAGTGAGCTTAATTTTGCAATTCTATCTATGATTCATTTTATTCATTATTCATTTTTTCGTTCAGAATTCATCAAGTGCTGCTCAAGGGCTTTTGGAAGCCTCTAATAGGGGACGTAGAGCAAAGGCAACAGTAACCTACGTTGTATCTGATGACTCCGACTAAGATGTATATGACAGTATTTAACATTACAAATAATGCAAATACTTTTCAAAATTGTCTTCAGTGGGTTGCACCCGGCTATAATTTTCTAGTTGTGCGTTGTCGATCGACTCGTTTGTTAGTATTAATAAGTTTGTATATACAATATTTGTTTCGCTTAACAAGTTTAGAAACTAAAACTAGAAATACGTTTTTAATATACTCCAAAAACAGATTGTGCCGATCGATTGTCTCATGGATATAAACTCAATCCATTTACATTTTCAATCCGAATAAAGCATTTTGTAAAACGGCTTTGTAAAACTTGTTGTAACACTTAATACTTGTTTATTATGTGCAATCCACTTGAAAATAACCTATTTTACACTTAAACTAAAGAGCTACAATAAGAGCTAGCGCCCGTCCCTTAACGCACAAAAGGATGTAAGGACTTGACCTCACTGCATTCGGATCGGCTCGATTCTTTGGTAGTCTAGCTGCATCGACTTTGGAGAATAACGACGTTTAAGCACGCACACACACACCCACATCCGCACGCACACGCAACTTGAGCAAAGACTTGAGCTCTGTGTCTACTTCTGGTGGTACTCGTAGTAGTAGCGATATGGATCCACCGGGGAGCTGCCGCCGGCAGCTGTTACGCCCACGCCAGCATTTGTCTTCGAGACGGGTCTGATGACGTACGTGTTGCGTCTAAAATGGTTGATGGAGATTGATTTGTACTTGATTTGGGACTGGGCATGCGTAGAGGGTCAGAGTTACCTGTTGTGCTCGCCGGCGTGCACCTGGAAGCTGGTCTCCTCGCTGTGATCGTGCGAGAAGAGCTTCTTGAGCGCTATTATGCCCGCAATGGTCAGGGCGACCTTGCTAATCACAAGCGCCTTGCCGGCAATAGCGGCAAGCGCCTTCAGGCCGAGCGGGCCGGCAATGCCCATCGCCGTTAGCAGGGCAGCAATCACATACTTGATGTGTCCGCCGTCTTTGTGCTTCTTCTTCTTATGCTCATGCTCGCGACCGACGCCCACGTCCAAGTCCAGGTCCATGTCTACTTTGAGCGCATGGGTGCGCATTAGTTTGTCAGCCTTGGAGAGCAGAGCGCGATCGATGGGCGCTAGGTTGCCGAACTGCCTGGCATCTGTCAACGACCCGATGATGCTCTCAGTGTCGCTTTGGTTCTGTTTCTCGAGCACGAGACCGTCCACGATTTTAATGGAGTCCTGGTCCAGGGCGCGTGTCAAGGCGTGCAGCGCCTTCTGCTTGAGGCAGCCAACGAAGTCGTTCTTGCCCTGGCAATCGTCGTAAACACGCCGGGCCAATGTCAGCTCCGGTCCCAATCCCCAGTCACTGCCGCCAGCTGGAGCTGGAGCTGCAGCTGCAGGTGCAGCTTGTACACTCTCAACGATGCTGTGTCGGCGTCGTCTCTGCATTTGAGTTGTGGCGGCCTCCACACCCGCTCCAATGCTGGCGGCACACGCCAGGAGCAGCAGCCACTCGAGACGCGTCATTGTTCTGCTTGCTGATATATCGTATGAATATTCCGACTTGAGTCCACTTCCACTTGCTACCAACCGCCAACGATCTTCGAATGATACTCCAGCGAAAACGCTGTCGACTCGTCGCTTTTATAAATTGCGATCCATGGCCAAGGCTGTTCACTCAGTTGGAAAGACGAGGCGAGATCTGGCTGCCACTGGTGTTGGCCAATTAAAATTGGCCATATTTTTGCTTTTTGTTTACTCTTCTTCGAAATTTGCCTTTCTTTGATCGGTATAATCGGCATTTGGCGTTATGGGGCTGACATGTATTCGTTACTTGCTCACCCATGGATGGGATGGATGCTCTTGCTCATTCATGCTCAGATCGCATTCGTGCTGCTGCACTGACTCAGCTGGCCAAATGCATTGCCTTCTGCTGCTGCTTTTATTGAACAGATCTTTCTTCGCCTCGCCGGATACCTGGTAATACATATGCATATATTGTTAAGGGCCTTTAGCATAAGTTTCAAGTGTAAAGTTGCAGGGCTTCAGCTTCAGCTCTGTTACTTCGCAGAACAACTAAATAAATTAATCATCATCAAGAAAAATAAGAAGTCAAATGAAATGGCTAATTATAAGAAGCAAGTAAGAGTGATCTTGTTTGGAGTGCTTCACTAGCAAATACCCTGTGTCCGTGATGAACATTATAATTATTCCAACTTACATCTATAGAGAGTACACAACAGAGTTAAGATTCTGTTTGACTAAATAATTTCCTAGCCATATTATTAAGTGTTTTTTTTTATGGTTATATATCTGCATACATATTTAAAAGTAATATATAGGAAATAAGTACATTCATATACAGATGTTTGCAATTCGATTTTTTCGATTTTCTTTATTTATTCATATTAAATTATAGGTATATTTTATCTGGAATAAAAATTTTTTTACAATTTTGGTTTTGAAATGTACTGCAATAAAAAAATTAATGAAAATGGGAAAAAATTACAAAATTACTAATTACTTAGCTGGTGTGTGTTTATTTGATACATTTAATGTGATTCTTTAATGTGATCCTAAAGAAACTTTTGGACTATCAGTATGTCTTATATGAGCCAAATTACAGCAATATATACTTTGCAATGTATTCCGGGATGTGTAAAGGAATTAACACGTCAGATATAGACATATAAATTTCTTTCCTTTAAGATCTTAAGTTATATGAAAATGAACACAGTTATCTAGGATTCTACAGGTCCGTCTGCCAAAATTTTACAGGCAAGAAGATCTATTCTTGCCGAAGAGGTCTTGATCAAGTTGGCTTCATCATCATCATCTTCATCAAGATTGTATATATAATATATAAGGTCATATATGGTTCAATGCTTGTTTCGTAAGGTTTCCCTGCATCCGATTTAGATGCTGGGTATAACAAACTGATTTGTGAAATGCATAGCTTGTTAAAGAATTTTACAAGTTAAATTACTACAAATCTGAAATTAGTTTAATAGAACAGACTTCAAGCAAAACAAATAGCCAAAGCCTAGTTGGAGAGTTGCAATTCAAAACGGTTAGCATTTTTAGCAGCAGCAATGAGCCGCCAGTTTTTGGAAAATCTAATGCATTTTTATGATGCGTGCCATAATGCAATTAAGCAGCCAAAGAGCTGGCCACGGCTGGTCCCTCGCAGCGCAGCCAGCTGCACATGTGAGAAGATGGATCGCTTGGGTTGGTGGCCTCGGCAAGCCGGCGATGCTCTGAGCTAGGCTGCACATTTGGTGCAGTGGGCCCCGGTGGGTGAAATTGAGTTGAGTACAGTTAAGAAATTTTCTTTTCTTCGCCGCCAACTTGCGCAGCGACTGTAAAAAGCTTGCACGAAATGAGTCTTAGGAGCGCCTGCCTGCTGCAGTCTGACAATGAAAGCGGGCCCCCAAGGGGAAGACCCTAGTTTATTTGCTAACTAGGGACAGTTTTAAATGCACGTTCGCAAAGTGTACGAGAGTATATTGGGTTCGAACAACTAGTCTGGCAATTAGAAAGTCTGTCCAACAGCCTATTAATGTAATCTGGACAAACATTTAATTTGGAATTTAATAAAGCGCAAACATTTTATTTTTTATTTAACGTAATAAATTATTGAAGTAATGAAGGAATGGAATGGAGTATTAAAGTAATGAGTAATGAAATGCTTCTCTGCTTCAGTATTTAAATTTCGATTGGCGTTATGATTAAATTATTTATCCAAATTCATATTAAAATCAATCGAAATTATAATACGGAAGCAGAAGGAAATAGAACTTGATGCTAAAAATTATTGATATTATTATTTAATATAAATTGGAACTAGATATTAAAAATTCTAGTAGATAAAATAAAGAAATGTTCAATTCTTTCTCTACTTTTATATAATTTAAGCTATTTTATCTATGTCTGACAGTTAAAATAGAATAATTTTACAAATGATTCGTAATTGATCTGCTGTACATTTCCGATAAAAATGATAAGTAAACAGATGATTTTAGAGGTAAAATGAAATATTAGGCTCACTCAGTAAAAGAGGTATTACAACAAATCTATTCGACGAATAGAGAAATAATTTTGATGCCCGAAAACAATTATGCTCAAGGAAAATGTCATTTTATATTAAATTAATCTGGTCTAGTAGCGTGAACGTGTATCATGCAGTCAGTTGCACCCGGTTACAAAGTTCTTACTCGTTACAATTAACGTGATGAAAAATGTTGGAGACACTTTTCAACACTTTCTACTTGGTTAATAGCGTCTTGCCTATTAATTATTTCGAATCGTGTGAAAGTGTGTTCAAATTTTATTTCTTTTATTTGCATCTGATGTACCATTATATCTTGATTTCTTTAGTTTTATTTAGGGTATAAATATCGTAATATAAAAGCATTCCTCATACTTTTGCTACGAATACTCAAATACTGTCAGAAAACTCTCAAAATATATGGTGAAACAACATCAAACCAAGATGAATACACATGCTTTTATGTAGTCTATATACATATGTATATAGTATGCCATATATGTACTCATATATCTTTGTGTATGTACATATCTCATCATAGTCGGTATGGCTGGCCACGCACACGAAAAATCCTGTGCTCAAGAGGGCGTAAATAATTTAATACATCAAGAAAATTGGAAATGAAAGTTTCTTTGTTTTGGCTTGGCCGCAGATAACTTTTAGTTTCAATGCTCGTAGATAGTCTGGCATTGAGCGGGGGAGTGGAGGAGGACAGAGACGGGGAGAACCAACAACGAAACAATTGTGCGATTTATTTGCACATTTTACGAGTGGATTGGAGCTCCTTACGAGCTCTTATCGTCAATAATCATCATATGCTCAAATTTTTGGTCGCTTAATTGGAAAATTGTTGTGTTTCTGTGGCTGCGACGAAGTGAGCATTACGGCTGAGCGATTGTTCGATTGGATGATTGGTTGAGCTTCTGAGTGCGTTTGATTGATGAGTGCGCTGGTGGAGAGCCAAAGACTGACTAAACGAACATCAATTGTGTGGCCTGTTGTGATAATATTTGCTATGCCGCAATTTCATTGGCATGTCGAAACGAGTTCTCCATCTGATATAAGAGTGTTTCAGTGTGGTAGTGCGGTAGTGTGTGCCCCCTCGGGGTTAGCGCACTATGCGATTGCGCACGAGTAGCCTTTGGGGTGGAATATCATTTTCATATTTCATAATATTTCATAACAATAGCAGGAGCAAGAGCAGGAGCAGGAGCAGGGGCAGGGGCAGTAGCAGTGGCAGGAGTTGGCCACAACAGCGTGTGGGCGTCAACCAATGCTGGCGGAGTTCTAAAATGGCGACCAAGCTCAAGTCCTTGAGGGGAGTCCTTGGTGGAGGTCCTTTGAAGTATACTTCGGTTGCCTTCAGTTGCAGCGCACTTTGTGAAAAATGAAAATGGTTTGTCAAAAGAAGTGGAAAACCACAAAGAAAATCTCAGCAGCAGCAGCAGCTATACAGACATGCTGGAAGAGATAGATGTAGCCAGATACATATATATACATACATCATATATATATATCTGAAAATCGTCATCATCTAGTCTTTCGCATGCCCGTATCTCGTACCTGCTTCGTGTTTGCACCTTTTTGCGTCCCTGCCTCCTTCCTGCTTAGACAAAGACACACGGGCCACGTTGAATGCCGCAGACGACTTTGTTCTATCCTCTTTAGCTCAGCTGAGCTTTGGCTCAGTTAGCTGCGGTTCGCTCGCAGTCTTCCCCCCATTTTCCCGCTGCCATTTCCATTTCCACTTCCAATTTCAACAACTACTGTGCAAAGTTTTGCACATTTTAAATTTTTAGTTGGCTAGTCTCCATTTATTTTTCCTTTTCATTTTCTTTTCCTTGTGCTCAAGGGTTCTTATGTTTTCTAAATACTCGCTCGACATATGTATGGGTGTATTGGTTTTGTGCAATGGCAATGCGAGACTTGACAATATCTATTGGTGTGCTCCCAACTTATGTGGATTGAAAATAGGTAACTCTCATATTCATAGCAGCATATAATTATAATTTATAATAATCATATATGACAGTTATACAAAATAATATATTCACGCTTCTTGGGCCGGTAGGTAAAATACATGAAAGCACTATATCGTTCCGGTCTTTAGAGTTATTTTCACCATAATTTGCAGTATAACTGTTGTCCTCTTTACATAATACAAAATCTGTGAATTTCGTTGTAGACAAAAAAGAATTTGTATACTCTTCAAATCCAATAGATTATATTCGTTTTCATAAAAATTCCATTTTCAAAAAGTTAACGAGCATTGCGCAGACAATTATGGCCGATTGAAATGCTTCTATTTGTTTTTATTTCTGATACTCGACTATTCTCTGCTGTTTGCTAAGGCGTTGTTGAGCTTGCCAATTTCCTATACTGAGCAGAACTACAATATATGCCCTGCTCATCCTAACAATACATTGGCCGGCATTAATCAAATATACTTTAGATTTAATTTGTTTTTAAATAATTGAAT